GCGAGACAGGTGCGTTTTGGCCAGCACCAGTAGCAGCACTTGCGATCAGTTGTGGTAGCGTCCCTGTCTCGTACTAATATAGTCTCTTGCCATCTCTCGCGACTGGCAGAACAAGACAGTCATTCTGGACACGATCAAAGATCCGACACTGGAGTCTGTCGAGGACAAAGTGCGGCTGTTCATCATCTACTACCTCTCCGCCCCCGACAACGTCTTTGCGAGCCGCGCTGATGTGGAAGAATTTGAAACGGCACTGACCGACCTCGGAGCTGATTTGCGCGCATTGCAATACGTCAAAAAGTGAATTTTGCGTGTACGGAGCGGTTTTGCAACGCTATTGACCACAGAAGCTGAATTCTACTTTGGTCGCCCCACAGAGTCCGAGAGCTGACGCGGATGACCATGCTTGCGTCGGCACCTGCACCTCAGCCCGCAAGCGGAGGCGGCGGCGAGCTGTTCCGAGGGTTCAGTTCGCTCAGCAGTCGTGTGAGTACATTTCTCAGCCGTTCCTCTAAGCATGCACTGCTGATCCCGCCCCTCACACGGTGCTCGCGACGTGTGCTTGCAGCTCACTGACCGCTTGAAGGACAGCGGTCTCGAGAACATCGTGGCTGGAGTCAAGAATTTCTTGCCAGCACAGAAAGACCTGACGGTGACTCGTCTCGTCTCAGCGCTGTTAGACCCGAACTCAGCCTCCAACCAAGTACGCCAAGAGGTGGAAGATTGGCTTTCCTTCGACATGGCTCCACGTCGAGGCAGAGCGACAGCTGGCTCCGCTGCACAAACCGGAGCTGGATCAAAGGATGCCATCGTCTTTGTTGTCGGGGGAGGCTCGTACGTCGAGTATGCTAACCTGCAAGAATACGCTGCTAGGACTGCGAGGACGCAACCCGCAAACAGCGCTTATCCTACGCCTGGAAACAGCGCTCGGAGGATCACGTACGGATCTACGGAGATTCTGACTCCCAGCGCCTTTGTTGGCGCTTTGGCGAATCTGTCTTAAGTCCGCAGCGTCCAACACTACTTCATCTGCAAGGGCTTGAAGCTTTGCGATCGA